TAGAGAGAAGATAAACATTAATAAAGAAGATAGAATAAAAAAATAAGTAAAAATAAAATAATAATAAGAAATGGGAAGAAAATTAAATAAAATATAAAATGACATAATGATGAAATAATAAGATAATAAGAGATAAATATAAATTAGAATTAATAAGAATAATAATATATTATGAATGGAAATAATGAAATAAGAGAAATAATGAAAATGAATAAGAAATGAATTTTGAAGAGATTTTATAAAACATATGATAAAAGAATTAATAAAAATGAATTTAATGAAATATGGTTAGTGCCACAAAATAAGAATGAACCATCTATAATAATAAAATATTTAAATAATAAATTTAATGAAATATATATTAATAAATTGAAATTAAATAATGTAATTATTCATTTAATAAACTACTTTGAAAATGAAATGAATGATATGAAATTAACAAGTAGAATAATAAAGAATATTAATATAAAAAGAAATGAATATAATTAATTAAAATTAATGAAAGAAAATGGTGTAATTGTATTAATTAAGAAAGTATTAATTACAGTAAATAATAATTTAAAATGATATTGTATTTATAATGATAAAATATCATCAATTAAACATATATTATTAAATTATATTGTAAATAATAATATACAAATAAATAAACATAATTTAATAAGAGAATATATATGTAAGATGTAACAAATTAAAATATAAAATAAATATAATGAGTGATGAAGAAATGGAGAAGAAAATAATAGAGAATAAAATGAAATTAATATTAATAAAAATGAAATTGGTAAATTCCAAAGAAGAATTGAAAATAAAGAAGTATTCATTGTATTGAATCAAGTAGTTAATAAAAGCGAAGGAAAATTTCATAAAAGACCAGACATTTACATAGAATATAAAATAAACATGTTTGAATAATAAATGATATGACAACAGTATGTGATAAGAAGATAATTCTAGCATTTACTAACTAACTTGAAATGTATAGAACTCCATTTCAAAATAATACAAATTAATAAACTAAAATGAAAGTAATTTCAGTGGTAATAACAATAAACTGATTAATTAATAAAGAATCAGTAATAATGTTAAAAGAACAAAGTGTAATAATTCGATATAAAATAATGATAAAAGAGATAATAATTAAAAACATGAAAGACCTAATGAAATACTGGATATCAAGGAGGTGAATACAGAGATATAGAAGTGTCTCATGGACAAGACTCGGTAAAGGGTGAAGGATAGGATGTAATCTCACCTGTGAAAGTGAGGTAGAGAAAACAAGATCTACTGTTACTTATTTTATTAATTTTTAATTTAAAAGATAAAAAAAAACAAAAAAAAAAGAAATTTAATAATAACAAAAAATAAATAACAATAAAAAAATGTTATTTAGATAGATGAAGGAAGAAGAGGAGTTTGATCAGTTTGATGTTCAAGAAATTCAGAATAAGTATTAAATTTAACAGGGCGTTTTCTTGGCCACCAATTTAATTCACCAAATAAATGAAGAAGAGAAGGTACAACCATTGTTCTAATAACGAAAGTGTCAAGTAAAACAGCAAAAGATAAAACAACACCAAATTGTTTTAAAACAGGCATAGAAGATAATAACAAAGCTGAGAAAGCAGCAGCCATAATTAAACCAGCATAAGTGATAAGATAGCCTGTATGTTCAACGCCTAAAATAATAGAGAGTTTAGTAGAACAACCTTTTTTTCTATATTCTAAAACTCTAGAAAATAAGAAAATATCATAATCAAGGCAAAGTCCAACTAAAACGTCAGTACACATAACAGGAACAGACCAAAATAAACCAGTTGGGCCATAAAGAATACCGAAGTCATAAAAGATATTACTAGTAAAAATTACTGTTGAAATACCAAAAACCCATGTTAAAGTTAATGCAGTTGTAAAAATTACTCTAAAAGCCATAATAATTGATTGAAAAGCACATGTGATAAGGATTAGTATCGTTATAATTAATATTGTTAATTGAATTGGGAAAAAATTTAATATATACTCAACTAACATTACCATATCTGTATTTGTTCCTAATATATATCCTACTACTCCATATTGCTTATTTAATTCATTTAATAAATTAATTGTTTGGTCTACAATTTCTTGAATTTCATCAACATTTTGTGGAATAAGATAACACAAAAATGATTGTGAGGTTGTAGAATAATTAAAATATTGTGAATATACTTTAATATTTTGTAACATTTTGACTACTCTTTTTGGAATTATATTTCCTTTAATATAATTGTAACAAATTATATTCTCTTTTCCAACATTTTCTGTTACATTATTTCCAAAATCTTTCATAAATTCATAACTTATTGAATTCATTGGATCAGATAATATAAGTAGTTTATACGGAGATATCATTCCTGGTGTCATTACTTTTTCAATATCTTCTAATCCTTCTATTGCTTCTGCATTTGATGGAAAACATTGAGTAGGATCCATTGTCCATTTAAAATCTTTCATACAAATAATTATTGGTAACATAATACAAAGAGCAATAAATAACACGACAACGCTATTTTTTATTTTACTCATCCATTCTGCTTGAAGATGCCAAAAAACTGAACCAACATTATTAGAATATTTTACACACCATTTATTACATGGTATTAATCCTTTTATCCTGAAAAATCTCGGAAAAATTAATAATAATGAAGGGGTTATTGTTAAATTAACCACTACAGTAAAAATTAAACAAATTACACATCCTAATCCCATCGTTACTATTACAGTTACTCCATAAAAACAACATGAAAGAAAACAACACATTAATACTATTCCACTTGTTGCTACAATTCTTCCACTTTGTTTTAACATTGTTTTTACAGCACTTTCATGTGATTGTTCTTTTCTTATTTCTTCAGAATATCTACTTAAAAGAAATAATGAATAATCTACTGACATAGCAACTATTAATGATACATTAATTGCTGGTGCAATAGAATAATATTCAGAATACTTAGCAACAGGATATAATGTTCCAAATGAAATAGATAAAATAATAATCAAATTACATATAGGAATAACAACAAGAACTATATTACGAATGACATAAAGAAATATTATTATTGCTATTGGAAATATAAATATATCCATATGTTTCATATCATAAATTATTGACTTTGTTATATCCATTGAAGCAGCTGTCATTCCAGTAACACTAATTCTGTATCCATCACAATTAAATGTTTCCACTGTTTTTCTAACTTCTTGAATTAAATGAGAAGAACAATCAATTGGACTTGACATTAATATAACAGTAGTATCATTTTCTACAAAATAATCTGTAATATTAATTGTTATTGTTAAATTTGAATAAACCCCAAGAACGAATGTTGCATTGTTTTGTTCTGCAGTTTCAAAAATTTGATATGACAGTTCTTTGACTGTTTCTGTTAGTACACTTCCACCATCTTCTTTAGTAATTACTACAACAGAAATTTCATTACTGCTATGACTTGGATACAATTCTTCAAATTTTATATTTCCTTTTGCTGCTAATGAATCAGGTGGTGCACTGAACTGTACTGTTGTTAATGAAAATATATTTAATGCAAAATATCCACAACATAAAGCTGCAATAATCCATATCCCTATTATACCATATTTTCCTTTTTTAATTACATAAAATAAAAAATCAAATGACTTGTTTTTTATATTTGATAATGTAATTTGAATTTCTTTTATGTTTCCCATTCTTTTTTCTTGATTTTTTGTGTTTTTAAGTTATTTCTTTTTTTTTGTTTTATTTCATTTTACAGAAAAATAAAAAAATAAACTAATAAGAATTAACGTTATATAAAACAAATAATTGAATACTTTAAAAAAAAAAAAAAGAAGGGAAAAAAAGGGAAAAAGATAAAAAAGGAAGAATAAGAAAAATAAATAATAAAAGAAGAATAATAAAAATAGAAGAGGAATAAAAAAAGAACTAAAAAAGATAGTTTACAAAACAATTTTTAAGAATGAGTAAGTTGAGTGCAGAAGAAATTCAAAAACAACAAAAATTTACATTAGCACAGTCAGAGACATATAAAAAAATATGTAAAGAATATGAGTCAAAAAAGTATTCACAAGCACTCAATAATCTTAATAAGATATTAAAAGTTATACCAGAAAATGGAGAAGCAATTGCTATGAAAAATTTAATTCTTTATCAAACAGAACAACAAGAAGCAAAAGAGACAATAGAAGGAATTAAATATGCGTTAAGAAATAATTTAAGAAGTGCAACTATTTGGCATTTATATGGAATTGTATGTAGATCAGAAAAAAGATATTCAGAAGCATTAAAAGCATTTAAAACAATGAATAATTTAGATGGAAAATCATTATTTTTAAAAAGAGATTTGTATTGTCTTCAAATGCAAAACCATGACTATAATGGAGCACTTCAAACAAGAACACAAATGGTTGATATGAAAAGAGATTTTGGAGGGAATTGGATTTGTAAAGCAACATCAGCATTTTGTGCAGAGAAATATGAAATTGCATTCCAATCATTAAATGTGTTTATGACGCATTTTGCAAAAAAACAAGATGATTGGAGGTGGTCAGATTTATTACAATTTAAAATTATAATTTTAGTAGAAGGTAAAATGTATGAAAAAGCATTAGAATTTCTTAAAAAAGAAGGACAATTTATTTTAGATAAAACATTTGTTAAAGAAGAGCTATTAAAATGTTATTTCAATCTTCAAAAAAAAAATGAAGTAAAAAGTATTTTAAAAGAATTATTTAAATTAAATCCTTATAATGAATTATATCATTCTATTCTTTTGGAATTATTTAATATTAAATTAGGAAAATTAAATTCAGAAGAATCATTAAAAGAACTTCAAGAATTTTATAAAGAAGTAAATTTTGATAAAAGTTATTTTGTTCAAATTGAATACTTTTGTCTTCATTCATTTAATGAAGAATTAAAAAAAGAATTAGAAGGATTTATTGATGAATTAATAACATTAAAAAAAACACATATTAATACACTCTTAAATAATGTCTTTAATTCAGAATTTAGTATTGACGCAGAATCAAAAGATCAATGCGTTTTAAATAAATTAAAGGATTTAAGTCATGCTGCTCGTTATTGTCTTTCTTATAAAAATATTCCTGCAAAAGAAATTCAAAATAAAAGTAATTCAATATTATTAAACTATGTTTCAATGATTATTCAAAGTGGTAATTTAAATGAAGCTTTAGAATATATTGAAATTATTGATAAAGATGAATTTATTCTTCAAAAATATTATTGGAAAGCAAAGTGTTTAGCTAAAATGGGAGAATTTAAACAAGCTTTAAAATATTTAGAATTAATTAGAGAGAAACAACCTTATAATAGAAATCTATTAAATAAAATTATTAAATATTCTCTTCAATGTAATGAAATTGAAAGTGCTTGTAATTTACTTAAAATTATTACTTCTAAAGATGAAAATGATCCTTCTAATACTAATGCTTATTTATTATTAGCTTTTGCAAATGCTTATTTCCTTAAAGGTGATCTTGAAAACGCTAAAAAATATATCGAACAAATATTTTCTTATTTTAATCATTTACAAGTTGATTTGTTTGATTTCCATTTATATGTCTATGAAAAAATGAGTATTGTTGCTTATCTCGACCTTTTAAGAAATGTTGAAAATTTTGATAATTCAGATTTAAAAAAGAAAGCTATTGAATTACTGGAATTAATTAATAGTCAATAAATGGAATTTTTAATTCTTTTTTTTGAATTCTTTTTTCTTTCTTTTTTTATTGTTATATTCTTTTCTATTGAATTATTGTTTTCATTTCTTTCTTTTTGAATTAACTTCTACTAACTCTTTTATTCATTGTTATATACTTAGTATTATCATTTGTTGACATATTTATCTACAGAGATATTTCATTTCTTTTTTTTTTTCATAGATTAAAAATAATTAGCTCATAACATATTCTTTTTTCTAAATTATTAAAAGTTTGAGGTATGTCTTATTATGTTATAGTAAATAACGATAACTCGTGACATTTTCATACTTTCTTACAATAAAACAACAAGTCTTTAATAAAAACGAACAAACCAATGAAAATCAACTATTAATCAATAAGGCTAGTTTATTGTTAAAAACAGTGTTTGGTATTAGTAGTTCTGATGTCATTGATTGGAATGGTATCATTCCAAAGAGTGAAGAAGATGTACAATTTATTCTTAATAATATTCAACAAAGAATTGTATTTATGGATGGTAAGAACCAAAAAAAAACACATTTGTTTCATCTCAAGATAGTGCTGAGCCATTACGAAATATTAAACAGATGAAATTATCAGGATTTGTAGATTTATCTAAACAATACACACTTGTTTTTGTTGAACAAAACAAATATCAGTTAATTAAAACAGATATTCAATACTGTGAATTTCATATTATTGGAAAAGATCCTATTTTCTCAATTGGAATGGTTTTAAGTACTTTGAATAAAAGATTTGATAATAAATCAGATAGAGTTGTAAAACTCAGTTCTAATGATAGAAAAATATTCAATGAAGAAACAAAAGGAAACAATACAAATACACTATTTGAAGATAGTGATGTTATTGGGTGTGGATACATACCATCACAACAAATTGTATTTTACACAAGAAATGGAAATTTAATAAATGTCATTCATACAGAATATAAGATGAATTGTTTTGCAATTGAATTAGAAAGATATAACACTGTCAATATTAATACAGGAAATCAACCATTTGTATTTGATTATATTGGATTTTGTAATGACTTCAATACAAATACATCATTTTTAAAGAAGACATTCACTGTTAATTGTGAATTATTCATTTTTGAAATTAAAATGTCTGGTATAACAACATTAGAACAACTAAAAAATAAGTTGTTGGAAATAGTAATTAATAGAATTAATACTTCTAAACAAGTCAATATCAAAACAGATATATTTGAATGTGAAGAAATGTTTTGGAATGAAGGATTGATAGATGAAGATGAAATAAATCATATTTATGATATTAAAAATAGAATTACATTTAAAGAAGACTGTGAATGTTCTACTATTTTCAGTGTTCTTAAAACAAACTCTCAAATTGAAATGAGTTTTATTACTCATCAACAACAAGAAGACCAAATTGTTTCTGAAGAAGTGGAGTGGAGTGATTTTTGTGGGTTTGACAAACCAGTAATTCTAATGTATGATGATACAATTAAAGAGAAAGAAGAGTTTTGTTGTCATTTAGAATTGAATGATGCAATAGATATTGGTGCTACTTATCCAAATCAAAGAATTATCAAAGAAGACAATACTAAGAAAGCGTATGAATGGAAAGGGACATATTGTAGTGATGGAGTATCAAATTGTGTAATTGAAATAAATAACAAACACTTTGACTATTTATTCTGGGAAGGTGTTTGTTTGAAGAAAGAAGAGTTTAAAGGAAAAGAAGTTGGCATAACACATGAAAATATGTCTGATGAATTAGAAGGGGAACCAAAATAAACAAAGAAATTATACACATAAATAAAAATTATAAAAAGAATAAAGAATAAAATAAATTATATCAATAAAATAATGATAAATAATTTGCATCAATAAATTAAACTATTTTTTATTTCATATTTCTAATTTCTATAATAAAAATACATCCATTATTTCATTATTCTTTTCATATTTTATTATCTCATTTTGAATTATTCATTTTTATCTTCTTTCATTTTATATTCTTAACTTTCTACTTTTATTCTTTTCATCATCTTCTACTTCATAATTTCACTTTTTTTCTTTTACATCCTTCTTTTTCATCATTTCTCATCATTTTTCTCTTTTTCCTTTTTTCGTGAGCATTCTCTATTCTATTCTTTTTTACATTATTATTTCAATTATCATAACCAATTAAACTTATTAAGATGTATTAAACATACAATTTATAATAATTAATTTATATATTCAGTAATTGATGGTATTAAATTGAACAAGTTAAAGATTTAATATTTCCATTGAAAGTAAACTTAATTAATTATTCTAAATCATACAATTATTATAAAAACAAAATCAAATTAAATGTAAATAAAAGAAAAGAAATAATTATTTATACTATACCATCACACGAATAACTACTAATCGAAAGTAAATGAAAAGATAATACAATAAAAGAGATATGAATAATTTCTAAAATAATTAATATTTTTCAGTCTTATTGATATTATAAAAATAACTTAATCTAATATTTAATAATTTATTAATTTCAATATTTTTGAATGATGTCTTTTAGTTATTTGATATTAAATCTTAAATAAACATAAAAATATAAACTATAATTACTATTGAAATAGAGTATAATCTTATTATATTTTTAATAAAATAACAATCTAATTAATAAAAAATAAGTTTGTTCATTTCATTCTAACATTTCTTCTTCATTTCTTTGTTTTATTAAAATGTTCAATGTTTTATTAATGATAATTATTTGAAATTCAGTAGTTAAATCTTTCAATTTTATGTTCATATTTAATTTTTATCATTTTAAAATGAAAATAATAATTGATGGATTATATTTATTAATATAAATAATACAAAGATGTTTGATTATAGTTTTAAATCATTCATTTTTTATTAATAAAGTATTATTAGAGTTGAAATGATGAATAGAATTATTAAGATAAAAATAAAGAACATAAACAAATAGTGAAGAAATGAGTTAATGAATGTACTTTTTATCTAGTATAAAATAATTACTTCACCTCAAGTTCTACATCAACAAGTTTTCCTTCAAATTCAATTTGACCAATCTTTTTTCCATTTGTTAATTCCTCTTTGTGTTTCTTAAAGAAACGAAAGAATAACCACATTGATGAAATAATACATGTCATCATAATTTCATCTGATCCAAGATATGGAGATAACCAATTACACTTGTTTTTATCATAAAGAAAAAATACTACAATACCCATTAAGGCAATTCCAGTTGAAATAATGAATAAAACAATAAGGATAAATCGATGAGTTGAACAAATGATTTGATATAGGTATAATAAAAGAGAAATAAAAATTGGAAGAAACACTGAACATAACCATAACACTTCAAACATAACATTTGATATTTGATAACCAATAAAAATAAGAATGTAACAAATAACACTAATACAACAACAAACAAATGGACGAATAAATTGTAGTAAATTAGAGTGATATTTATGAGTAAATTCAATTAATGATGAATTTAAAAAAGAAAAAGAAAAAAGTACTAATATAAACACTTCTACTAGAATGGTAATAGTTAATTTAATATTATCTATTACAAAAATACAATGATCTAGCATGTACATAAAATACCAAATACCTAATAAAAAATACATCACTATATAATCTACTTTTCCATTTACTAAATGAGATAATTTTGAATGAACCATCCAACACAAATTAAATGACATAATAATTGAAAAACAAGAGATTAAAATTAAAACTGGATGTTCTATAGTAATTTCAAGAAATTTTATTTGACTATTACATTTTATTTGATATCTTTTATCAAATAACTTACAGAAAATGGGATATGATTTATTACATAATATTGTTTTCATATTTGCTTAGATTTTAAGTTTGATCTATTATTTCATTATCTATGACAAAAATAATTTATTATTTATTTCTATTTTTTATTTATTACTTTAATTTATAAAAATTATTAATTACTATTATTATATTTATACTTCTTTTTAATTCTAACCAGTTTGTTATTATTTCAATAAAATATTTAACTCAATTATAATTTAGTTTATTCTGAGTTTATTTCTTTTATTCTCCTTTTTCTTATTATTATTGTTTATTTTTTATTATTTCATTATAGTATTATTTACATTTCTTTTGTTTTTATTTATATTTATTAACTTTAATATCTCTCATTTCTTTATTATTTCTTTTTTTTTCTAAACTTAATTATGTTTTCTTATTTTAATTAATATCTATTTCTTTTTTTTTTATGAAATATATTTTAACCTTATCTTTATTCACGTTATTTATTTTTACTGTTATTTTGTTTTCTTATTTGTCAACATTTTTGATTGTTATTTTGTTTTCATTTTATTATTCAATTCATCTAAATTTCTTATCATTTAGCACATTTCTTTGTTCCAAGAATATCTATTTTATATATCATGATAAACTTTGTTTATTTAAATTTCTACATAATTGGAAATTCTTATTATTCTATTTACTTTACTTCCATTTATTGTATTTATTTTCAGTGAAAATTAGTTGATTATATTATATGTTAAATATCACCAATATTTCATTGTTTTAGTTATCATTTAACAATTTGATGAGAATAATTAGTTTAAAAGTGAATAGAAAGAAAGAACTTCATTATTATTCCTTTAATCATTTGTTTTTATAAATAACATAAAACAACACATCATGAAAATGAAATGAATAAAAAGAATTATATGAAATGGTCTGTGAACAATTAATAATTTAATAAACAAAATAGATGTGAATAAAACTTTGAAAGTATATGTTAATTAAATAATATATTAACACTAATATTAAACAATAAATGGATACTTCAATCTAATGACTAAAAATGATAATATATTAATTCATTATTTTCAAAAGAATAATGATTTGAATATAAATTGAAAATTTTCATTCATTTCATATTAATGTTATTGTTTAGATAATATTTAATATTTTACTATGTTTGATTCTTGAATTAGAAAATAGAAGAATAAGAATAGAAATGATCAGTAAAATGAAATGAAAATAAAGGAAGATGAAAAGAAAATAAAAAAACTGATATATTTAAAGGGAAGAACTGAAACATAAACATTTAATGATCATATTTATATTATTTATTGCAACAGATAATTCTCAATAAAGAACAAAATGTTAAAGACTACTCAAATCCATTTAAATAATATTAATGAAAGAATACACAATAATATAAAGTATATTGAAAAGGAGAAGAAACCATAAAGATATCTCTATCACTACAGTCAACAGGAGCACCAAAGAAAACAATTTCATATGATGAAGAAACAATAACGAAAGAACCTGAACCATCAGAAACATTAAAAGTTGATTTATCAACAAAAGAAACGCATTCAACACCCAATACAAAAGAAAAACAACCACTAAGAATCCTATAAACAGATACATCAACACTAGAAGGAAAAATTCTGAACAACCACATTAAGAAACTCAACAAGAAAAAACAAGAAGGGAAAAAGGTCAAAAAAACTAAACAAAATAACAACAAAATTCTCAACAAAACCCTCAAAAATAAATAAAGACAATAATAATCAACACAAAACAAG